ATCATCACAAATCCCATATATAATATATATAGAGAGAGATTTAGAGAGAGAGAAAGAGAGGAAATGGGAAAACACCTCGTCGTGACCAGCGAGAGTAATTTTCTCCGTGTTGAAAACTGAACTGTCGAAATCAAGCGAAGTCAAGGGCTTCATCGCGGGCGTAGAGACCATGCGAGCTCCGAGAGCTGAGCCCGAACCTTAGTACAAATGTGAGAGGCTCCTTATATAGGAGATATAGGTGTAGTAGGTGAAGTGGAGGTGGTAGTGGTGTAGGTGAAGTGGAGGTGGTAGTGGTGTAGGTGAAGTGGAGGTGGTAGTGGTGTAGGTGAAGTGGAGGTGGTAGTGGTGTAGGTGAAGTGGAGGTGGTAGTGGTGTAGGTGAAGTGGAGGTGGTAGTGGTGTAGGTGAAGTGGAGGTGGTAGTGGTGTAGGTGAAGTGGAGGTGGTAGTGGTGTAGGTGAAGTGGAGGTGGTAGTGGTGTAGTGGGTTAGGTTTAGTGGAGTAGGTGAGGTGGTAGTGGTGTAGGTGAAGGTAAATTCTAACAATAGGAGTTAAATTAATCTTTGTTTTTTTTCTTTTTTCTTTTTTCTTTTCTCCTTGAATGACACTTAGGGCATGTTTGATTGGTAGTATTAGTGGTACTATTTTATTAACCTGTTAATCAAACAAGGCCTTAGTTTGAGTTTTATTTATTGCATAAAACACATGTTTATTAGTTTGTATAGCATTTTGATAACATTCGAATTTATTAGTTTGTAATATTCGATAACATTTGAATTTTTATTAGTTTGCAAAATTAATCTATTAGGACTTAAATTAATCTATTATTAGTTTGAATTTTATTAATTTTATTAGGAGTTAAATTAATTTTACAGATGTGGTAAGTATGGAAATCTAAACCACATTTCGTATTTTTCAAACCCCAAACCCCCTCTTTATGTATGATTCCAGTATGTATATATATTGTGTGCCTCAGATATCTATATAACAATAGAAGGCTGATTTTGAATTCAAAATTGAAAATGTCTATGTGTCAAAATATGAAGCATTAGATTGCTTCAATCCAAGGGCTAAAAATGTCTCATTCTCATTTGTCCTACAAGGACATTTCAATGGTTGAGATCAATATTGTTATTCACTCTGGATGGTCCAGATTTGGCCTTTGCTTTTCCTCTCTCCTGTTTCATCTTTGCCCAAATCCTTCCTTTCTCATTTCAGAGATATCCCTTCTCTTTCATATGCTTTTCTCTCTCTCCCTCTCCTCGCCTCTTGCTCTCCTCTCTTCTTTCGACCACCGACCATGGACTCTCTTCTCTCGCCCTCCTGATTTGCCTCTCTCCTCTTGCGACGACATTGCAACCATTCAGAGGTAAACTACAACTTACAAATTTGCAAGTGATATTTTTGTGGGTTTCTCTCCTCTTAGAAGTTTTACTTGATTTTTGCTTAGAAGTTTCACTTAGAAGTTCCAGGGGTTATGTGTATTTTGATTTATGAAGGCTTTATATGTATTTTTTCCTTTACGAAGTTTCTTTCCTCTTTCAAAGGTTCCTGGCGTGAGTTTACTCTCTCTGTCAGGTTGGGGTTTTCTATTGGGTTTATTGGTTATGTGTATTGGGTTTTCTATTTTTTCCTTTATGATCGGTAATTTTTTATTGGATTTATTGGGGTCTTTAGGCTGAATTTGGGAACATAAACTGAGAACATTTTTATCTTCTCTGAGTACATAAACTGAACCAAATAAAAGGTTCAGAACATTTTTATTCTTCTTTTTGTTTCACTCAAACATGGAAATTAAAGCTGAACCAAATGAAATATGTATATGTTTGGTCATATGAGATTTGGACGTCAATTAAACTGGGTTTGGTATTCTTTGCTAGAAAAAAGAAAAAAGAAAAAAAAAACAGAAACAGATTTAAAATGAATTGAATTGGATCTTTTTTTCTTAGTTGGAAATCAAATAAGTAGTTTCATGTGTGTATATATGTAACTCTCTGCACATGTGAGATAACAGTGAACATGATTTTGTATTCTTTGCTTAAAAAAAAAAAAGAAAAGAAGTAGTTCCATGTGTGTATATATGTAACTCTCTGCACATGTGAGATAACAGTGAATATGATTTTGTGGGTATATATTTGTATCAATGTGGGTATATATTTGTAGGTATATGTCTTTGCTTTTGTAGTTCCATGTGTGTATATTTCTTTGCTTAAAAAAAAAAGAAAAGAAAAGAAAAAAAAAAAGAAGAAGAGAAGTTTCAATGTGGGTATATATTTGTATCAATTAAATAGATTTAGAAATTAATTGAAATAGATTTTGTTTACTTTGCAGTAAATAAGAAGTTTTCTTTGTGATTCTTTTTGTTTTCTTTTTTTTTTTGTTTTCTTTTTGCTTCACTCACAAAAAGAAAAACAGAGTGTTGGATTTGTTTATATAGATTTCAGATTTGTTTTGTTTCTATGCTAGAGTTTGATTTGTGTTAAATTATTGAGTTTGATTTTGATTTGTTAAATCATTTCAGATTTGTGTCCTTCTAAAAACTTTCTAAGATTTTTTTTACAAAAAACTTTCTAAGCTTCAGAGAATTTTTTTTCTTCTTTTTGTTTCACTCAAACATGCAAATTAAAGCTGGGGGCTATTTGTTTTTGGCTCTCCAGAAAATGTAATTTGTTTACATTTTCTGGAATTGGATTGTTTTACTATGAAGTTTTTGAGTGGGGGTTCAAGTGCCAATTAATTGAGGGTTTTTGTCAATTAATTTGTTTCTTTGTTGGTTTTGTTTTGTTAAAATCTAGATGTTTTTGATAGATGTTTTGTTATTTTAGGGTTCTGTTTTGGTTATTTTTTTGGTTCTGTCACAGGTTTCTAATTTGACAGACCCTTTCATGGTTTTTCAGCATTGTTTGGTGGTTGCAATTACAGGTAGTTCAATGACTTCTTTCCATTTCAGGTGGTTTCATAAAGCTCTTGACCTCCTTCCTTACAAACCAAAATTTAATAGGAAGTTCCTTCTATAAAATTTGTATATTTTAGAATAAGAACCAGCCATCAAAAACCCAAGGGGATTGTATTTGATCTACACATTTACAGAGAACTTGGGAAATTTGATTTGTGAAGAAAAAACAATAAAGAACTTGCAAATGAAATAGAGGGTGGTTTTAAAATTTATAAAAAAAGAAAAATACACACACACACACACACAAATTCTTTCCCTTCTCTTTCCACTGCACAAATGCAAGATCCCAAACACAACTTGAAAGTGCCTATGCAAATAAATCTTAACCACACGAGTTAAATTTTAGAGCAAAGCAAAGGACTGATGAGGTCTATTATAATTGTTAAATCCATTATTGCTTCACAACATGGATCTACATACTACATTTGACCATCCACTGCTGAGGTTCTTATATATTTAAATTAAAAAAGAACCTTGCAAAATACATGATTTCTTTAGAAAATACAATGTACATTAATGTCTATTTAAGTTTCAGACAACTACTCTGGGCTAATGAAAGTCTACACTCTTTCTTATGCTTCCTCGGTAAAAACCCATGTACAGAAACTGTGACATCATCCCGAATCAAGCTGGCTTCCTGCCCTGTACGAGGTTTCATCGGATTATTGAAGGCTGTCCCAGTCTGCACAGTCTATGTCCTTCCAATCCGTGCAAATAAACGTAGGGTGAACTACTTTAACAACAGATGCATAAGTGTTAAGATTATTGATCTCATTTAAGAATTTACAATATATCTATTACTGATTACTTTCTGTATAGTTTTTGGAATTGGATTGTTTTACTATGAAGTTTTTGAGTGGGGTTCAAGGGCCCATTAATTGAGGGTTATTGCCAATTAATTTGTTTCTTTGCTTCTGTTTAAATTTTGAATTCCTAAAGTAAGTAGTAATCAATTTTCTCTTTTAAAAGGGCATATATGGGAAGAAGTGAGGGAATTCAAGAACATAGTTTATAAGCAAAACCATGTGAGCACAGTTTACATGTCATCCATAACTTCTCTGGAATGCTTCATCTTCTTCTTTTGTTTTATAATAATCTGTTTTCTCTTTTAAAAGGGCATATATGGGAAGAAGTGAGGGAATTCAAGAACATAGTTTATAAGCAAAACCATGTGAGCACAGTTTACATGTCATCCATAACTTCTCTGGAATGCTTCATCTTCTTCTTTTGTTTTATAATAATCTGTTTTCTCTTTTAAAAGGGCATATATGGGAAGAAGTGAGGAAATTCAAGAACACAGTTTATAAGCAAAACCATGTGAACACAGTTTACCCTAGAATGCTTCTTCTTCTTTTTTTTGTTTTATAGTTTTATAGTTTTTTTCACTATTAAACTAATAGTGTAAATTTGTTGGTAATGTTCTTTATTATCTTAAATGACCTATTCTATTTTCTGAATTTGGAATTAAAATCGCAGTTTCTTTCTCTCTCTGTTTTTTTGTTTTTGTTTTTTGTGGTTGTGTGTGTTTTTGCGTTTCCCTTGCTGCAATTCAAACCCCAAAACAGAGGTACTTTAGTTCTTCAGTTCTTTGGTTCTATTTGTTAGATTTTTCTGGGTTTTGTTTTTACGCCTTGAATTTTTGGTCAATTGGTGATTATTGGGTTGAATTAGGGTGGGTTAAAGGCATTGCAGTTTCTTCCTTAACCTTTTGGTATGATGATGTTCTAATAAGGAGCCTAATTATATTTTGGAGTTTGTTTCAAGGTGGGTCACCAAAGCTCAACAATGGTTGTTTGCCTAAGCCATTTTCTTGGTATAGAAACAGGGATTTTAAAGGCAAAATTTAAAAATCTAGATGTCTGATAGATCGGGGTAGTAGTAGGCTGGTTCTGTTTTTGATTAAATAGAATGATGTAAATATGGTCATTTTAGCACCAACTGGAAGTGGAAAAACAATACATTTTGAGCTTTGCATTTTGAGACTGTTGTTAAGGTTCATCTCTGTAGAGGGAAGATTTATTCACTTAAAGGGGATTCTCAAAATAGTAGGCTTTCTACAATAATATTGTTCTGTTGCTATACATTGTGTAATTGGTATTGTTTCTGCATTTGTACCACAATGCCTAAAATATTGTTTTGTTGTTATACATGGTGTAATTGGTATTGTTTCTGCATTTGTATTTGTTGTACGGGTGCTTTAACTCGCTGTAGAGTGAATGCTTTTTTGCCTGTTTCGAATCCGATGTAAATATGGTCATTTCAGCACTAACTGGATGTGGAAAAACAGTACTTTTTGAGCTTTGCATTTTGAGACTGCTCTCAAGGTTCATCTCTGCAGAGGGAAGATTTATTCACTTAAAGAGAATGCTCAAAACAGTAGGCTTTCTACAATTTTGTATATGAAAAAATTTTAGATGTTTATTTAAACATTGAAAAGTTCAGAAGATTATTGATTTCACACCACCAGGACACCTACCAATGTTCTTTATTTCATTTACTTTGTATTGTTGGTTAGTTTTGGGAATTAACTCCTTATATTATGGAAGGGATTTTATTATTATTTGATTTTATTTGATCTATATACATATATATAAATATATTTTTAGGGTCTATTATACCTTATTGTTTGACTGATGAGGTCTATTATAATTGTTAAATCCATTATTGCTTCAACAGTTGAAATCTTTTTCTGTATACTTTCACTTTTATCAATGATTAGAAAAGGGATATATCTTACAAAACAATTACAGTAGTTTTGGGAATCTCTTATGTGTGAGAAGGGATTTTGAATAAGGGAGAAGGGATTTTGAATTTGTGTGAAAATGTATCAGAGATACAATTCAATTCAACGGCTGAGATGTGTTGTTTTTAACCATTGAGGGTTGAGATGTGTTGTTTTCAACGGCCCCTTGATGTGTTGTTTTCAATTCCTGCCCAAAACAATCCCCTCTCTCTCCTGTGTTCCACCCACTCCAAACATTATTTGCACACTTCTCTCTCTCTCTCTCTCCAACTTCTCAGGTCTCAAACTCTGTCCTCAGAGATCTCTCTCTTCCTCTCCCTCCTCTCCACTGCCGTTCTGCTTCCACCATCGCGTCGTCTCCACCGTCGCGTCGCCTCCGATCTCCACCGACAGCAACTCTTCATCTCTTTTCCCTATTAGATCTCAACCCACTACGGCACCTCCGTCCTCCATCGCAGAGAAACCGTAAATCATCTCTTCATTTCTTATCATCTACAGTAAGTTTCTTGAAAAGTCATCATCTATATCTTAGCGTTCATTTTCATTTCTTTCAGGATAAAGAGTTGCGGTATCGTTTCATCTATAATCATTTTCCGAGTTTGCACGAGGAGGTAATTTGACTGCCAGTGATTTTCTTATTTGAGGTTTTATTTTCTGCTACAATTTGCATCCTTTATTTCAGTGCTGGTGTGAAACCTGACAATATGCATTTTTCTTTTCTTTTTGATTTGTTCACTTTTGTAATTCATGTAATTTCTGTAAAGCAATGTTTGCAGAATTTGGCACATGCATTCCTCAAATTCATTGATTTTTCAGGACATTATAGGAAAAACGGATGTGGAGACTTCAAAACAGATTATTCACTGATTATTCACTGGTGCTGGTGCTGGTGTTGGTGCTGGTGTAAAGGAATCTCAAGACTTCAAAACAGAAGTTTTGGAACGGGGAGTACCTGCAAAAAGGGAAATTACTTTTGAGACAAAACTATTTGGGTCAAAGACATTTTTGATATATGTTGAACCTGTATTCAGCAACGCAGGGGATACTATTGGTGTGAATTACATGGGTATGGATGTAACTGATCAGGTGAGTTCATTTACAAGATTCAACAGTCTGTATAGTGCCATGGTGGTCTTCAACATTAAATTCAACACTACCTAATATTATAAATTGATTTGTGATTACCATTTCGAAAAGAAAATCTTATTAGCTTTTCTTCGTATTGAATTTTTATGTTCAATGTTTTGGTTTGACCTATGTTATATCTCAAGACTTCAAAACAGAAGTTTTGGAACGAGGAGTACCTGCAAAAAGGGAAATTACTTTTGAGACAGAACCATTTGGGTCAAAGACATTTTTGATATATGTTGAACCTGTATTCAGCAACGCAGGGGATACTATTGGTGTGAATTACATGGGTATGGATGTAACTGATCAGGTGAGTTCATTTACAAGATTCAACAGTCTGTATAGTGCCATGGTGGTCTTCAACATTAAATTCAACACTATCTAATATTATAAATTGATTTGTGATTACCATTTCGAAAAGAAAATCTTATTAGCTTTTCTTCGTATTGAATTTTTATGTTCAATGTTTTGGTTTGACCTATGTTATGATTCTTTCAATGTCACGATTCATTGAACATCAATGTCTCAGGTTGGTTTATAAATATTAGGCTTATTGTTATTAAGAAGCACCTTTGATGTTGAGAATAATATTGATTTCAGTTTTTGCTATTTCATAATTTCTTTTATTACCTTTTTCCAATTTACTCTACCATACGACATCAATCTAGCGCTCTGGGTAAAACTTCAAGAAAATTGTCCCATGCTCATGCAGCCTGCCCTTATACGCTTGCTCATGTGCATGCATGTTTGCGGCCTTCAGCCATTGCTACACTCCGCAATCTATCTCCCTCTGTAGTATGTTGATTTGAAAATCTACCCATGGCATGTGGTACATATATTCCTTAGTTTATCTCTCAAATTTGTTTATACACCACATTGGGACTTTTGCTCCTTTTGCATAAATGCACATAAATTATTGCACGTATACCATACATCTAGAAATACATGGAACTCTGTTGTAAAGCATGTCCATTGATTTTTGGTTATCAGGCCAGACCACAACTTGCAAGATGTAAGAATCAATATCTTCCCTTTCAAAAGAAGAAAGGTGAAGGCACCAGAAGTTGCAGCTTCTGTTACATTACCTATGAGAAGGAGAGATCACTCTCATCATTGGTGGTCTGCACTCCCAGAGTATCAACACAGACTGCCATGACAGGAAGAAGGTCAAAAGCTATTGCAAGAAAGGCATCTTCTTTACGAAGTTCCAGTTTTCCCACTGAAAAGCCTGTTAAGAAAGAGGAAGATTCTGTGGAAGATCATCTAGAGGGCTTAAGCTCACCCGAGACTTTAACCAAATTAACTCAGAATATAAGGCAAGTAAAGGAAGATGACAAGTTGTCTGAGCACTCTTTATTTAGGTTATCAGTACGTTTTGTTAGCATCTGGCCTTAAAGCAGGGTGCATATGATTACACATGGACTTCTTTTTAATGATTTTAATCATTTAAATGGTACAAAATTCTTCTAATGCTGAGACATCTATATTCAATGATTTTATATGATTCTTTCAATGTCACGATGCCCCTTTTTTTTTTCCCCTAAAAAAAAGAAAAAATTTAGAAGTTTTATAGGTCTTTAAACTATATGACAACAAAAAATACAATATGTGCCAAGGAGACAGAGCTAAACAAAACAATTCATATAACAGGTTTATCTCTTTGATTTATTCTTGGTGGGTTTGAATAAGCATTAGAAGGAAAAGGGTATTCATTTTTTACCAATGGATTCTTCTTGTAGAGGAAACAATCCGAGCAAAACAAATGCTGGCAACCATGTCTCATGAGATAAGATCTCCACTATCAGGAGTTGTAAGCATGGCTGAGATTCTTTCCACCACAAACCTTGACAAGGAGCAAAGACAATTATTGAGTGTCATGTTATCTTCAGAAAATTTAGTTCTTCAACTTATAAATGGCATTCTTGACCTTTCCAAAGTTGAATCAGGTTTGAAGTTTCATCCCTCCCTTACATTTACATGTTCCTATCCTTGAAATGGCATATATGGATGTTTGTATATAATTTCAGAGATTGATGTATATATATGTATGATTATGTATCGGCGTTGGTCGCCCTTTAAATTTAGGTATTTTCTTCTCTCTCCTCTCTCTCTCTCTTTCTAAAAATTGTTGAGGAAGATGGATTTGGGAGATATAGTTATATTAAAATTTTAAAATTTAATATATTTTCTTCAAATCTAAAAAAAAAATCAAAATATAATTTACCTTTAATTTAAGATTGTAAAAGGTCTATTGTAATGGGCCCACGGACTACAACATTGCAACCAAATGAGGTAATGGGCCCACAAACAGTATATTGTTGGATCATCAGGTGGGATCACAATTTTTTTTTAAAATTATTTATACTAATAAATTTAAAAATATGAATCACTAAAATTGTATAATTATAATAAAGGTTAAATTATAAACATACCTGAGTTTTGATTAAAATACGAATCACCTCCTGTAGTTTTGAAAATTACATTTCACCCATGTGGTTTCTAATTTCATAACAAATCGCCCTTTTTATTAATAAATTATCAAGTCAATTAACAGTTTTTAATGATATTAGAAATATGTTTCAATTAATAATTTAAGTAATTTTATTATTGTATGAGAGAGCAATTATGAATTTCATTTTTTTAGTTAATTATATTAAATAAAAAATACTAATAAGGAGGTATTTGTAATTTTTCAAATCACAGGAGACAATCTATACTTTAAACAAATTTTAGAAGATGTATTTATAATTTACCCTATAATAAATTATTCGAGTAAAAGTAAAATAAAATTTATTAATATTCATACAGGGGGGACACGGGTGGCCCGGGGGCAAAAGATTTCTGATAATTTTGATTACATATGTATGTATAATGTATTTGGGCATCTTCACTTCTTCATCATATGTTTTTTGTATACCCATTATCTCATTAAAATTACTAAAAGTGTAATCAATTATCTCATTAAATTTTCGAAATGATGGCTAAGAAATTGTTTAAGGCGAAGAATACCATTGATATCATCACCGGTGATAATCATGTCATCCACATAAAGTAAAAGCAGGGTGGTCCCTTGAGCTGTTTTTCGGGTAAAAAGAGCAGTATCATAAGAGCTGGAGGTGAAACCACATTTCTGAATAGTGGAGCTGAACTTGGAAAACCAAGCACGTGGAGCTTGTTTGAGACCATATAAAGCACGCTGAAGTTTGCAGACTTGATGCAGGAGATAAGCAGACCCAGGGGGAGGTTGCATGTAGACCTCCTCGAGAAGAACACCATTAAGAAAAACATTTTTCACGTCCAGTTGATAAAGATCCCATTGTCGAGTGGTAGCAACAGCAATCAAGCTGCGAACAGAGGTGAGACGAGCAACAGGAGCAAAGGTCTCTTCATAATCAATACCATATTCTTGATTGAAGCCTTTTGCAACAAGACCGGCTTTGTAGCGCTCAATAGATCCATCAGAACAAGTCTTGATTTTGTATACCCATTTGCAGCCAATGGCAGTCTTGCCAGGAGGAAGATCAACAATGTCCCAAGTATGAGTTTTGTCTAAAGCCTGCAATTCATCAGTCATAGCTTGCTGCCAAAGAGGATTAGAGCGAGCCCCACGATAGGAGGTCGGTTCATAAGTAGAAAAAGCAGTAAAAGCAACAATAAAGTCACGAAGATGAGTAGAAGGTTGGGTTACCCGATGTGGTCGAGCAGAGGGAAGAGGAGCCAGAGGAAGAGACTCAGCAGGAGGGGAGGATCCCGATGGAGCAAGAGCAGGACCATCAGAGGGAGCAGGTGCATGGGACAAACCGGTAGGCAAGGCGATCTCGAGAGAGGTTGGCAGGGGCGGTGGAGTAAACGTATCAAAAAACTCGAGAGAGGCTGGCAAGGTGGTGGAGTAAGGTCATCAGAAAATAGATCTGTGGAAAGGTCAGTAAAAAAAAGAGAAGGTGAGGGAACGGACAAACGGAAGGGAGAGAAAGAGGAAAACATTTTGTGTTCCCAAAAGACCACATGACGAGAGATACGAAGTCGTTGGGAGAGAGGATCCCAACAACGATACCCCTTATGTTCAATACCATACCCCAAGAAGCAACAAAGGCGGGAACGAGGTTCAAGTTTGGTACGTTCATGAGGTTGGAGAAGAACAAAACAGGCAGAGCCAAAGACTCTAAGGTTGGTGTAGGGGGGATGGGTGCCATGCAGACGCTCATAAGGAGTGTGATTATGAATGACAGGTGTAGGGATACAATTGATAGTGTAAGCAGCAGTGAAAGCTGCCTCTCCCCAAAAATGTTCCGGACAAGAGGAAGACAAAAGAAGAGCGCGAGTAGTGTCGAGAATATGCCGATGTTTCCGTTCAGCACGTCCATTTTGTTGAGACGTGCCGGGACAGGATCGATGAGGTTGAGTACCATGACTCTGAAGGAAGGAAAGAAATTCAAAATCTTTATATTCCATGGCATTGTCGGAACGAAAAAGCTTAATAGTTTTAGAAAATTGTGTTTTAACCATTGCAGCAAAATTGTAATAAAGTTGTTTAAGCTCAGATCGATTTTTCATAAGAAACAACCATGTAAAACGAGAAAAATCATCTACAAAAACAACAAAATAGCGGGCGTCGCCCATAGTGGGAAGTAGGAGAGGGTCCCCAAATATCAGAATGGATGAGATCAAATGATGCAAGAGAAACAGAGTCACTTTTATTAAACGACAAAGCAGGTTGTTTGGCAAGTTGACAGGACACACAATCTAAAGCATCAGAACTTACAGAACCTAAATGACCACGAGAAATTAAAGATTTTAAACGACTAACAGAAAGATGGCCTAAACGACAGTGCCAAAGCTGAAAAGGAGATAAAGGAGGAGCAGTGGTAGCAGTGGTAGGAGCTGTGATCTGAGAGGAATCCGGAACATGAAGATGGATAAGTTCGTAGAGACGTCCATGCTTACGGCCGATCCTAAGAGTTTGCCCCGTCCGAGGGTCCTGCACCAAACAACCAGTATGGGAAAAGGTGACAGTTAGACCATGCTCACATAATTGACTAATGGATATAAGATTTAAAGTGAGAGCAGGCATAAGATAGACATGAGATAAAGATAAGTAAGAGGTGGAAACAGAACCAACATGACTTACAGATAGAAGAGACCCATTAGCAGTATGGATAGAAGGAACAAGAGAAGTGGAAGAGAGAGGAGTAAAAATAGTAGCGTCAAAGGTCATGTGATTACAACAAGCGGAGTCAAAGTACCAGGAAGTGTTACCTGCAGTGACAGACAAAGCAGTAGATGGAGGAGTACCGGAATTCTGCCAAAAATGGTGAAACATGGCGTCGACATCTGTGTGAGAGAAGACTGGAGTGGAAGGATCTATAGGGACAGAGGTAGGTAAATCCTCTGAGGCAGCAGCAGCAGTGCGTTGAGCAGGCATTGGTTTAGACGGAGTCCTAGAATGGTGAGAGTTGTTGCGGGAAAAATTCCCGGGAGAGGGACCATTGCGAGAGGCACGGGCAGGGTTGCGGAAGTAATCGTGCTGGAGATGACCAGGACCAGTCTTGTTGCAAAACTGACAAAGACGAACTGGACAATTAACCAGAAGATGAGTCGACGGAAGACTGCGGTTTTGACAGTAGTTGCAGATAGGTGTCTTCTGTGGGGAAGATGGTGAAGGAGAACTTCGAATCTGGGGAGTAGCAAGAACAGAGTCCACAGGGTGTGGATGGAGAGTACCAAACCTAGTTTCCTCTGACAGTAGTTCAGAAATTGCTTGCTCAAGAGTAGGTAAAGGAGTGCGATGAAGGAGAGATGTGCGGACTGGCTCAAAACGGGGAGTGAGAGCCATGAGAAATTGAACCAAGCGTTGTTGGTCACAGTAAGTAGTAAACAAGGCAGCATCCTTAGTACAATCCCATGGAGGTTCAGAGAGAGCGAGCTGATCCCAAACATAATATATTTGTGAAAGGAAATCATTAATGGTTTGAGTTGTGTCTTGGCGCATACGGTGAAGATGACTCAGAAGCTGATATTGGTGAGCAAGGCCAGTAGTCTAGTAGCGTTCTTGTAAAAAATCCCAGATGGCTTTGGCTGGAGAGGAAGCAAAGTCAAGTTGGAACCGACCAAACTGAAGGCTAATAGAAGTAATAGAAGTATTACGGAGCCAAGTGATGATCTGATAGTTTTTGCTATCCCAATCCTCCAGACGGTCAACATATTTGGCAGCGGAGTCTGTGGTGGCAGCGGAGTCCGTTGTGGCTGGGAGGGGTTTGCACACATCCCCAGTGATGATGCGCCAAAGTTTCTTTCCTTTGAGGAACCTAGACATAGCTTGTGCCCATAAGACATAGTTAGTTCCGTTAAGAACAACGGAAATAAGGTGGTTAGAGGAGTCCAGGCGATCCATGAGGAAAAAGCAGTACTATCGAAGCCGAATCTTAAAAATCCGAGGTTACCAGTGAATTCAAAGGGTCGAAATCAGTGGGAAATGAGTGAACGGACCAAAAAAAAAGATGACCAGAAGGCACCAAATTGGCTGGTCAAAGTTGGTCAACAATTCTGGTCAAAGATGACGTCACTACTGTGTCACAGGCGCGGTGCACGTTAGCATAGACAGGCGCGGCGTACGATAGCAGAGGAAACAAGCGGCGCACGGAAACGGACAGGGCTGACGTCAGCTGACGTCAAAAACACGCGGCTCACGTTAGCAGATGAGGCCGCGGCGCATGATAGCACGAGACAAGTGTGAGACGCGTAGAGCGCGTTTGAGAACGAGGAAGCGCGTGGATGAAAGTTCTGGCGGCGCGTGGCGGTACGTGGAACGTCGGATAAGGATGAATCTGGTGGCGTTGGATTCGTCGTGAGGAGACGAAGGTTCTGGTGTGGTTCAATCTGTAATTTAGATAAGGACGAGATATGCAACAATCTGCTCAAAATAAAAATGTGATGCAACAGAGGAAGAGACTAGGCAATACACCTGTGCTCTGATACCATGAAAGAAATAAGAGAGTGATATTGAGAGAGTAAGAAAACTCTTGTATTCAATATATCTGAAAGAGTAAGAAGAGACTCCATATATAGGAGCTGCGTTTATACAACATCATTATGAAAGCAAAACATAAAATAATCGAAAGCAGCCGAAAGCGAAGGCAACCGAATATAATCCTATGCTCCTATGCTCTGTCATCCTATAGCTATATATGATACATTAATATAATATATACATACATTAATATAATATATACATTATTGTGATACATTAATATAATATGATACATTAATATAATACATTAACAATATCAAATCAAGGGACAGTTTTTCACCAAATCAAGAATAAGTTATTCACCATATTTCTAATCATTTAATTCTTACTCAAATTTAATGAAAACTTTACAAGTGTTTAGGAATGGAGATTGTTTTATTTGCTTAAAAATGATTAAAGTAAAATTTTAAGATAAATTGTAAATTTTTCAAAAAGATTTAATGAGGGAAAAAAAGAAGATTGAAATGCTCCATATTAGATTGAGTTTTTAACCAAATTCTTACTTAAATTTGATTAAAAAAAATAATTAAAAAAAAGGATCGAGTCTAGGGTGGCCATTCGTCAGGCCAGGTCAGATTCGGGCCGGACCGATACTACATAATAAAAGATTGTCTCTACCCAAGTCTGGCCTGACCCTAACATCTGACCTCTACATCTATTCAAGTCCAGCCCAAAAAATAATTAAAAACCTCAAGTCTAGCCATGGGACTATATGTTAAATTTTTTTAAATATATTTTATAATTAAATTCAATCCCACATTATGTTCCTTAGATAAATATACTAACATTATTATACATTGAAATATTTTGTGTATAAATTAAATAATTTTTTAAATAAATTAAATCACAAATCACGCCAACGTAAGTTTTAATAAAATCAACAAATATAAAGTTTAGATCTCAATAAAAAATATATATATTAAAATTAATTAATTTAATAACAGATCGGTCCAAGATGGACTGAGTTAAAAATATAAATCTCAAATCTAATTGATTAATAAATCGGAATAAAAATATTAATCTAACTCAATTTTATGAATTAAAATAATTTTTTTAAATCTTAAAAATAAGACCGGACCGGACCGGACAAGTTGGGTGAGCTAACGGCCGGTACGTACTCTAATCGAATCCCACGAAGATGCCGTTTGAAGGCACTGATCAAAAAATCCCATTTGACTTTTTTTTAATTTTTTTTTTATTTTAATAATTTCAGAGGAAGATGACACTTCCATTATTCAGCCTTAGCTTCGCATGTCAATTTTTTTAGTTTTTATTTTATTTTATTATTTTATTTATGTAATAATATATGTATTATTAATTGATTGTATTTGTTACAAGATTGATGTATTGATTTGTATGTTACAAGCTATTATATAGGAGAGGTGTGAGGTAAGTGAGTGGTGGTAGTGGATGGTAGTGGAGGTGGTGGGTGGTAGTGGAGATGGTAAGTGTGTTAGGTTTAGTGGGGTGGATGTAGTGGGTTAGGTTAGTGGGTTAGGTTTAGTGTACATTAACAGCCCCCCTCAAACTCAAGGAGGATAGGAACTAACCAACTTGAGTTTGAAGAGAGTAACAAAACAGAAAAGTAAACTGATAAATAAAAAACAAAACAGGATAGGAGACACGGACATGTGAGCCGCATATCGTTGTTTCCTTGCGGCAATATTCTTTTACTTTGTAGGTTTGAAATAGTAGCAAAGAAGTTACAATATGTAGGATGGTTCTTAGTATTGATAGTTTGACACTTGATAGATGCCTGTTAGACCTTCATTTGGATTCTTCGAAAAGAGTGCACCTTTGTTTGCACAAGTGCGAGTGTATGAAGCCTTGTTTGTTAAGAAAATTACTTGCTCTGCCTCATTTTGTGCAGCATAGTTGACCATGCACGCAATTTAAGAGAGCCTTTAATTACGTAAATGTGGCTAATTTGTTGCACATGGTAAACTTCATGATGAGCTAAATATGAAGGATGATGGTAAACAGTATTCACATTTCCTAGTTTTGAAAAAATGGAAGATACAGATCTGATTATGTCAGTTACATGGAGAGTAATGATTGTGAATTCTGGTGAATGATGATAAAATTAACAAGGTGAACTGATGCTTTTGGTAATTATTTAATGGAATGCTTTAGAGCTCTTTGGTTTATGAGAATTGGTGCTTGATTGCTTGGCAATCTTGATGAGATTGGGAATACAAGTAATCTGCGAAGTAGAGTTTTGAATGTTTTGAGTGCTCAAGAAAGATGTAGAACAGAAAGGAATTGTGGTTTGTATGTGTTCATTGGGCTCGATAATGCTTGAAAATGGTGTATCTAAATTCTCATAGCTGTACATTAAGATTATAAACACTCAGAAATTTCTGTATGGCTGGTCAGCAAAACATCTTTGCTCATTCAGGAAAACATCTGTGGTTATGATTGTATTAACTTCTGAGAATGCTGTGAAACTTTGGAGAAATTGAGCATTGAGCAAGGCCTTGATTAATGTTTCTCCATTGCAATTTAAAATGGAATGGTACAGAGACAAAAGGGAAGGTCTTGAGATGGTGTTATTTAGAAGAAAAAGCACATGAGAGTGAGTATTGAGCAAGGCTATGACATGAAATAATAATAGGGAAGTGACTTGCCTCTCCATTGTAATTTAAAATGGAATAGTACAGAGACGAAAGGGAATGCCTTGAGATGATGTTATCTAGAAGAAAAATCATATGAGGACTGTTAAGAAGATACACTTACATCCTTATAGGTGGGAATGCCTTTTTTGATATATGATTAAATGGTTATAATTAATTCGTTATAGCTTTGTTTTAAACGTGGTTGGTATCGTTAGACTCAGAATTAAATTTTTTATCAAAAAAAACAAGTTTTCATCTTTATAAAAATTAAAAAATTTTTTTAAATTTTTTATATTTTTTTGGAAAAAAAAAAAAAAAAAAAACATCAAACAAATTTTAGTTTTCAATTTTTATAAACATAAACAAAAAACTGTAAATATAAACGTTACGGAAGTAGACTTACAATTTTTTTGAGAATTTATGTTAGTGTGTTTGATGCAACTTTTGTTTATAAATTATGAGACAAGAATAACTTACAAAAACTGCAAAAAAGATATTATAAAAAAAACTAGAGTAAAAATGTTTTTAATGTCTGCTTTCAAATTCCATTTTGAAAAATGTAAACCAAACAGGTCCTTGAGCTACCACTATGGTTGCCATAATCCTTCAGAATGTAATATTTGTCAATACTTTTGAGTAAACAAAGTCCAGTCCACATAACACAACCTAAGCTGGGGAAACATTTCAAGACACGTTTTTAGGTATCACTAGGGGTCTCACAATTCAGAAACTTAGAACAGAACAGAAACAATTCTAGCATCGAGATATGAAGAATTTTCAGAGAAATTTCACAAAGTACATACGAATGCAAGCAATGGCTTAAGTACACATCGTCTAAATTAAAGTTTATTATAGTAACTAACCAACCAACCTTTCATATAAATACGAATCTCATCGAGTAATGATGGTGCATGAGCAAGCAAGAATCTGCAGATCTTAAGTCAATATCCTTGCATTATCAAATAAAAGGGTTAATACAATATCATCCTTTACATCGACCCCTGTTTTCCTATTGTCTGCCATTTACAACAGTTAGAAATTCCGGCAGAAAATATACCCTAAGATGCCAAATAACAAAATAATAACCCTAGGTCAGAGGATGGTGATGCCAACTAGTACATAGCACAACTCACCATCAGTCCCCATGTACACTTCCATTCTACTTGCAACTTAAACCTAGCTGAGTGAAGAACATGAAATTTAAATAACCAAAGCAGAGAAACCAAATAAAAATTTCCAGGTAGTATTGCTATAAGATCGGAGCATAATAGGTAAGAGTAAGAATAACCTGTATCTACAAGGAATCATACGTTCCATTAGTGTCGGTCACAGATCATTTGACGCAATTGGTAAGGCTGGCAAATCAAGATCGAAGAGACATTTAGTCATCCTTTGTGGAGCAAAATAAATAAAAATTAAATGATTTCTTTAATTTTAATGGCACTATAGTGAGCAATATTTGTTGAGAATACGAGTCATTGCCAATATAGAAATTAAATCAATTCTTCGAATCCATTAATTCTTCAAATGCATTACTGACTAATTTCAAGTATACTCAAATATAATCAAAGGATTACACTCCAATTTAAAAGCCAAATGTGGGATGGGAAACTAAAAATAATATCATATTTTACTCATTGAACATAGTGCATTTAAATCTAATACGCTTAGACTGTCTCTAATTGAACCGATGTGAAACTTCAGACAATGCAATCATTGAACTTCATGCCCGTAAAATGAAAATTCATGTACTGTTATTATTTTTTTATTTTTTGTTCTTAAAATTGAAAATTCATGTACTGCATTGTCTAATCATTGAACGTCAAGTTCTTCTGTTCTAATCATTTATATAAATGAATTTCTTTGGGTCCTTCACTAATACAATTGTCACATGATCATGCACATTAAGCAGGAGTTAGATATACAAAAACATGAAAAAAAGCTTACAAATAAAATAAAGAGAAGAACTGAGGAAAAAATCATGCAAATACAGTACATATACTAACCAGTCAACATGATCACTTATCCTGATCTCTCGAATAGATGATGGCGTGCCAACATTTCAGGTATCCCCAATGCAGAAATGCTTGCACAACCAAAAAGCTCTTGAAGCTTTGTATCACATAGAATTACCACTGAATTCAGAGGATCCTGGAAGTGAAGGAATAAAAAAGGTCAATACAGTTTACATGGCAACATTATTTACTGTAATCTTACTAAACACTGACACCCAATGAACAAAACCTATAGTAACAAAATTATAAACTCAATTTATTCTCATGAGAATCTCAAAAGAGCAGGGAAGAAGCAAAAGAAGAAGAAAAAGCAAAAGAAGAAGACATCCTCCAAGAGTGTAAATGTAGAAAAAGATAAATGGAATTGTGGCTTCTTTTATAAGGGTGTATTTTGGTAAGTTTTGTTCCAAATTGATTAGTATATGTAATGAACCTTCACAAGTTTTTAGTCATCATCACATCATGTTTATGTTCAGAATTATTTTAACTACTAATCTAACTCTATGCACTCAGGAAGCCCATCTGCTTCCGGTTTGCTGCGACTCGATTATATTTATGTCCATATTATCAAGAAATACAAGGTCATACCATCATTCTCACTCTATTTCAAATTCTAGTTGGAATCTCTACACCTTATGGTACTTCTGACTTGGATCAAATCACCCCTCCTTAGTAATCTACTCTACAGTTACCATGTGCATTCATGTAATCGTCGAGAGAGCGACAGAGAGAGAGAATGCGGGCGACTTTGTGGGAAATGGGAAACAGACAATTTAAATGATCTAAAATTTCATATCCATTTTGTTTAGAAAAATAGCAAGGATATTAAATGGAATATCAAAAGATTTGTGTAATAACTGTCGAAAAAATAAGAACAGATTTAGTTGTATTTATTAACAAGACCAACCCATCTTCATATCATTCTCTCATCTTGTTCAAGTAGTCCTACAAGTAGCTTCCCGATAATGCAATTTCTTCTACTGCCGCTTGTCCCATATATCATTTTCTGCATTCATAAGAGATCTTCTTCATTTATTGATTCTTGACATGTTTGGGATTGTTTGGGTTTTTCTAGAAATGTGATGGATTCTTTCCGTGCCTTGGGGTGGAGGCTAGTGTGAGGAAGAGAAGGAAAGAGGTGTGGTCTTTGGTTGTAACGACTCGGATTTTAAATTCACATTGGATTGATATATAGTGGTGCCTGTCACCTTGAAATTTGTATGGTTGTCGGACTCTGGATATTGATGGGTTGGCAAGTGAACTATAAATATTATAATTGAGGACCTTTGGATGATGTTTGGAACCTTGATCGAAGCATTAACAAGATATATAGATAAGATTAGATAAAAAGTCCCAAATTTGAGTTTGAATTTTTGACCAGCCGTCACTCTTTTGCCCTTTTCTCCTTCCATACTTAGAATTTGAATGTGAGGTTGGAACCATTGGAAAGCTTGTTTCCGGGGCTTCAATTTGAACACAAGAACGGCCTAGAAAGGAGTCCCGATGAGAGAGTTATACCTGTTTGAAGTTTCCACATCTGTGCTGGAAGCAGAGCCGCACGTGCGGGAAATAGCGCCGCACGTGCGGGCTGTGCGGGACAGCAGCTAAAAAAACGTGATTTTTGGACCATTTCTTACATTTTCTTTTCCTCTCTTCTTCTCCCCTCTTCCATGTCCGAAAAGTTATCCCTAAAAACTTTGATTTCCTCCACTTTTATCAACAAATCAACCATGGATTTTGCATCAACGATGAAGAGCAAGTGAAGATCAACATTTTCAACTGATGGGATTTTGAAATTTCGAAGTTATGCTCTTGACCTAGCTTCCTTGCTTTCAATCTTGAGGTAGGGGTCCTAGTTCTCCTTCAATGCTTACATAAATAGATAGATTTTTGGAATTTTGGAGTATATAAATGCAAAATCTACATGTTGAGCATATAGGGTTATATTATGGAAATTTGGGGATTTCGGATTTGAAGAATTTGGAGTTTTATTGTTGGGTTTAGATTATGGATTATGAACCTAGGATATATAATCAAGGGGAAAATTGGAAGAAAAAATAATGGGTTAAGAAGTTTGAATTTTTCTTAAAATTTCTAGGTTTTTCTAGAAACCCTAGGTTGATTTTTGATGATAATCAATTATTTGGCCCAAATTGAAAGTTGAATCATGAAATTGGTAGGTTGAATTATCTATGTACAAGTTTAATTGGAATTTGGTTATGTTTGAAAATTATGTTTAAAATTTGCGAATGAATTTTGTTATGAGCAATGTAAATCATGTTATAATGAGAAGGAAATTGGAGGAAATGATTTATAAATGATATAGATGACATAAACTCGGTTATGGAATGTTGAAATGGAATTTAAGAATTCCTCTTGAATTATGTTGAATTATATTTAATGATGTTGAGTTGAATCATGTTGCTTATGTTGAATTGTAGTGATTATGTGAGATGGTATTAACTATGTTGACTTTGATTTTTGTGACTTAAAATGTAGAGTTTTCCAAAATGGGTTAATCCCAAATTATTTTGCTAAATACTTGTGAGCTTGCTTAGTTGTAAAATCAAGAGAATGATTTAATTTTTGGAAAAATGTGGAAGATGTCCATACAATTCCTTCCTATCTTGAAATCGAAGTGATTGATTAAAAATTCCATATTGTGTTTGCAAGAATGGTAATCTTCTATTTCTATATATAGATATATTGAGATGGAGGAAATTGTGGTATAATGGATGGATAATGGTAGGCTTGTGAAGAATAATGAAGGAAGGAAAAAGAACTAATGACTAAGTTATATATGTGTACAGGGCACACTTCAGGAGGGCCAAGCACTCAGTTGTAGCACTGTGAGTAGTAGTACTTCGATGTATCTTTAACCATTAATGATTATTGTTATCGACGTTATGATCTTTGTCATAAGAATTATGTTGACACGCATGTTATGTATGCTATATGAGGGACATTGTGAAATTATGGAAACATGAAAAAGGATTTGTGAAATATGCATCTCGAATTTGTGAAGTATGAATTTCCGAATTGTGAATTGTGAAACTATGAAGCCAAGAGCCGAATTGTGAACCTATGAAACCCAAAAGCTAATTTATGTATATGTGAATTTATGAGGCCAAGGGCCGACTTGTGAATTTATGTGGCCAGGGGCCAATTGTGAACTATGAACCTATGTGGCCAGGGGCCATTTGTGAAATTATGAAGCTATGAAGCCAAGGGCCAAACTTGTGAACTTGTGAATCCAAAGGGCCGAAGGCCGATGTAATAAGTTGTGAATCTATGAAACCTAAAGGCTATCGTGAATGTGTGAACCCCTCAGGCCAAGGGCCGAACTGTGGAATTGTGAAACCGATAAAGTCATCTGTAATCTAATGAAAATGTGCTTACTTTGTCCTGTTAACTTTATGTTAATTATGTCAATTCGTGGGAATGATGTAACGGTTACCATTAGGACTCTATTAATTACAAGGCAAGGCAACTATGTTAACATATAAGAACGATTAAACAACGGTGTATACTAATGATTAATAGAGCACGTGAATTAAGTCATTTACCCAAAAGAATTTATGTTCATTCTTGAAGAATAGATTCTGAGTAAATATAAGAGTAGCTATGTGTATCCATATGAATTTGAAGTTATGTTGCTATGTTGCTTATGAATTGGAAGTTATTCAGAATCTACGATAAAAGTGCAAAGTTTAGCATTATTATGTGACTCTTATGAGAATGTGAATTAGTCTCTTATTGTTAAGCGTATGATAATGACATGATACAACAAGAAACGCTCCAGTTATAATATGTTCCGTTTAAATTAATGAATGATGTTCAAGTATGTCTCAGGTATGTTTCCAGTATGTTACAAGTTCAAGTATGCTGAGGTATGTTTCAAGTATATGTTACAAGTTTGAATATACTACAAGGTCAAACAAGTTTCAAGGGCTTTATGCCAATGTTTCAAGGGCCTCGTGCCACCACATTTCAAGGGCTTATAGCCATCAAGTTTATGTTGCAAGATTGGGCCTAAGGCTGTTATGTACTTAGCACAGAATCAGACTATTACATTGACATGTATTATGTTTCAAGTTAAGCATCATTTTATTTATGTATTACTATTCACTGAGCCCAGCTCACTCTCTATTATGTCTGTTTCTGTAGGTCACCAATCAGGTGGTCAGTCCTAGCCAAGACGCCCGCTTTCTTTTGTCAACCTTCGTATGTCCAGGCACTGTATAAGCCATTTATTTTATCAAGTTGTTAAGATGTTGACTTGATTATGGGTGTCCCTCTAAGGTTGTTGTATATCCTTTCATGTTTGTTTTTTTTTGTATACGCCCAATAATCATGGGGCTGGCATTGTAAATGTGTATGTATATGCTCCGAGTAATAGTTGGAACTTTATCTATCCACTATAATGCATGTGATGAATGAGATCCTGGCATGTAGAAGTAGCTCAATGGAGTTTATTTGTTTCATTATTTCCATTTTTTCGTGCTTCCGATAAGGCCCCGTATGTTATGTTACCAGGTTACATGTCCGTTTCTGAATAGGTCATGCCCAAACTTTTAGGGGCGGGTTTGGGGCGTGACATTGGTGTCCTTGGTTTTGATGTGGATCATTTGGCAGGAGCAAAAATGTCATTGATTCTTGAAGATCTGGAAGGGCCCATCTTTAAATTAAATGGCAGATTTCTGCCTTTATTGTATAGTTTATTTTCGGATGTAGAAGAGCCGTCATCAGCCCATTTTTGGATTTTGAATAATCTTTTGAGTGACTTTGATGTGTATTAAGGATTTTTGCTTTTCTTTATATTGTATAGGGGTGCCTTCCCCTTAATGCTTTTTGCATACGGACGGCACACAGGTCCTTTCTTATTAAATATCTACTTATCCAAAAAATAAATAAATAAACAAATAAAACAAAGACCATGTATCCTTCAGCCACAGTAAAAAACAAGCCTCTCAATAAATGGCAAGGCATACATGACAACTTGGCTAAAATCTATTTTCATCTAGCATGTAAACTGTTTGTGAAAATAAATCATAAAAAATATGCTCTTGGTTCAAAGAAATGCTGTGAATTGAATTCAATATCATGAGAACCCACTGAAAGAACAAAGATAACAAGAAAGGGAAAAAATGACAACCAGATGAAAGTGAAACTAATATTTATATACAGTAAACAACTTCATCAACAGTTGACACATGTAAATACCATCGTTCTCAACTGCATATCTTAAACATGGAACCCAGGAAAATAAAATCTGTTACTCAAAGCCCACTTCCAGGTTACCCAAATGGTTTCTTCAATTTGATGGCGGCCATCCCATTTACTGAGTTGAAACAAATAATTTTTGTATAAACATAGTAACGCTAAAACTCCTCAATTATTCCCATTAGTTGGACCAAACATAGATATAGTATGTATGCTATCATTGATAAATACAACTTAAAAGAGAAGTAAATAAAATAAAATCAAACCTAACTGGATACTGCAACAGTAACGGACATATTTTTCAGAATCAAGTTATTCTAGCTTCTAACTTGTTACGACAAAATTTCAACTAAAGAAATTGAACTGAGTCATGCATTCGGTTACCCACCTCAAGTTGGTTGACCTTTATGTACTCCCAAACATGTCTTAAGACCTCAGACTGAATCATCTCCCTTCCACTAGTACCAAAAAAATTTGCAAGGGCTTCAGATATTATCACAGCTGGTTCAGACTCAGCACTTTTTGTCTCTAATTCCACCTCTACTTTTGGTTTCTTAGAATTTCGACCTACCGGTTCTGAAAGCATCAAAACAATACAGTCAAAGTCATTGGAAGAAAAAAACAAATATAAACAAAGAAAGAAACAAAAAAAATGCGGAACACAAAAACACTGTACTGACAGACACATACTTGCAGGTTCAAGTGTGATAATATGTTTAGCTAGCAATTTATTCATCTTGAACATGTCAGTACAGTCTGTCTCAAACACTAAACGTAGCTCATCATTGCAAATTATCTTCCTTTTGTTACTTGGATCTTGAAGATTGTTTTTCCTTATGTAAGCCCACAACTGCTTCACAATCTGAACCAAACAGAATGTAACTTTAGAAGGAACAATGTTAAAAAAGATGAACGTTATTCAAAAAATAAAAAAATCCAGAAGTTTAAACCTCAGTCCTAGGCAGTGCTGGATGCCCGACAATGGCCTGAAGTTCAGGTGAAACCCCACAAAGTTTGTTTAGCCCACCTGGCCCACCTCTCCTCTTTTTTCCAGTTTGAGAACTGCAAAGAGATAATAATAAATAACACAACCACAACAGGCTAATCATCAAATGACACAAACACATACAAAGTCAACATACTATGAGCAATCAGTATGCTGACTATAAATCTGGGGGGGTTATTTCATCCAAGCAAAAGCAATTAGACGTGAGATAGAGCAACCATTGAGATAAAGCACCCAAGGGTTATTACACCATTTTGAAGTCAGAAGATCGTGATCACACACGTTGGACGTTTCAGCTTTGAGGTTAAAGACTCAACCACTCCTTAGTTCAAATGGAAATGGAAATGGAAATGGAACTGGAAATGAAAGACTAAACCGCATCTTAGTTCACGCAGCTAGCTTACACACATATTTTCTTTAATCCCACTTGCTTAGTGTTTATGAATACATAAGCTATTGCCATTATTTGATTTGTGCTTATGGAAGAAAGCGTTCTTGTTGCCACAGTGATACTGAACCAAGAATTGATGAATTCTGTTAGTAATTCCGATACAGAAAGCCTTGCAACCTCACGATATTTGCTTCGCGTAGAACCATGAGTTCAATACAATCACATTTGAAATTTGGTTTACTGGTTAAATGATTGTACAAACCACATTATAGAGACAACGTTGCGGTATGCATCCTCACAGTAGTAGAAGAAGAGTTAACTAAGCTCTTATCGGGGTTTTGTTTATTGATATATACACTTGAAAGCAAGATCTAATAGAATTGAGCATTATCCCAAAGATTAAAAATGGAAAACAATTTATCTCCTAAGTCCTAAGTTAAAGATTGCACTCCACACGTTTCATAGTTCAATAAATCAGTCATACACCCAAGATAACATTTTATTTCTCTATTGGAACAACCCACAACCTATACAATATACCGCAACGCAAACCATAATTTTTTTGTTTTTTTGATAATAGGGTGTCGGGCCAGCTTGCAGAGCCCGGGCAAACCTCCAGGGTACTCAGAGACAAGTCTTTTAGGTTACATCACAAATTACAAATTCATAGGCAAATAAACATCAATGCACAAAAAAATAGACTTACAAGTTACAATATCATGATGCCAGTGAATTCTAACCAACTCGAGAAAAAACAAATCCAAACATCGATTGGTTGTTTAGCAAACGTAACCAACAAGGAAAGTGATTAATTTTCTATTCATTTCCTGAATTTTCTCACCAACCAAAAGGGCGGTTGAGCAAAACATACCTCTCTTTGGGGGATTCGATAGGGGCGGCGTCAGTAGTAGCGGGGGCGGAGGATTCAGTCTTCGTAGACGGCGGTGGTCGGAAACCGAGCTCGTCGGCGGCGAAAAGAGGGGGTTGGCGGAAATTAGGGTTTTGGTGGAGGAGAAAATGGGTTTTTGGAGGGGGTTGGTGGTGGTGGAGGGGTGGTGGAGGAGGGTGAGATCGGAGGAGGAGGAGGAGGTGGATCTGGTTCTGGATGAAATCGAGCTTGGGAGTGAGGTCTAACCCTAGCTTGGATTCCAAATGGTGAACGACGCTGTTGAAGGAGGTGAAGGCGGTGAAGCTAGGGTTTGTTTGGCGAAGAAGAGACTCTAGGGCTTCAGCTATGTCCTGGTCGGACACCATTGTTGTTTCTCTCTCACTCATTCAAATTTTTTATATAAACTGAAATTAACGGACTCGCAAAAACACACTCTCTTTTCTCCCTCTCTTCGCCAAAGGATTTCTGTCTCCGGTACTAAAATCCATCACAACTATCACAACTATTTGATATCTCTTAAAATTTACATATAATTTAATAATTGTGAATAATTTGAGATAAAAATATTTTCAAATTTACATATAATTTAATAATTATGAATAATTTAAGATAGAAGAACATAAATTTTGGGAGAGGGACGATCCTTTCTGCCCCTCTCCCCTCCTTATGTTTTCACCCCTGGTCTCTCTTTCGAGCAACTGAAATGATGAAATTGCCCTTACCTAATTTAGGCCTTGTTTGGAAACAGGCTAATTTAGTAATTTTTTAGCTATTTGGGTAAAAAGGTAGGTAAAAAAAACTTGTATGTTTGGGATGACTTTTTAGCTAATTACGAAAAGATGTGAAAAAAGTAGAGAGAAAAGAGAATCTTTAACTTTTTAGTATGGGTTGTTGGCTTTTTGACTAATTTAGTAACTTTTTAGCTAATTGGCTAAAATAGCCTCTTGCCAAACGATGCCTTAGTGAGTGACAAATGGGTTATGCAAGAAGCTTCTATTTGCACGCACCACTTTCACTCTCTTCACACATTTAATGATATTTTTTTATATTACATTTTTATTCTAAAATAAAATTATCAAACTATTCCTTTCTTCTTCAACCAAAACCCTAACCCTAACCTTAATACCCAACACAGTGCCTCCCCTCCGGTCATCTCCTTCCTCCTTCTGTCGCCTCCCTCCAGCCTCCCTCTTCTCGAATTGAAGCCCCACCTCACCCCATCGTTCGTCGCTCACTCACCCTCCCCACCACCCTCGTAACCCCTTACTTCGGGACACAGCACCACCGATGCCACAGGTTCCACCCCTTCGCGACCCTCAATTCTGCACACTCAAAGAGAGAGAGAGAGAAAGAGAGAGAGAGGAGACTCATTTTCTTGCCATCAACATCCGAAGCCCCCTTTTCGTGACTAAGAAGGGAGAGAGAGATCGAGGGGATAGGGTGGGCGTCGTGGTAGTGTCGTCGGTGGATGGAGGAAGAGATAGGAATGGCGACTGGAAGGGAGGTGGTAACGATGGTGTTGCGTTTCCGCCGGCGAGGTGGTCACCGGTCTGGAAGGTGTATGGATTGGGAGGGTTGGAAAGTTGTGTTTATGGGGATATAATTAGAATAAAAGTGTGCTTTCTTCTTCAACCAAAACCCTAACCCTAACCTTAATACCCAACACAGTGCCTCCCCTCCGGTCATCTCCTTCCTCCTTCTGTCGCCTCCCTCTTCTCGAATTGAAGCCCCACCTCACCCCATCGTTCGTCGCTCACTCACCCTCCCCACCACCCTCGTAACCCCTTACTTCGGGACACAGCACCACCGATGCCACAGGTTCCACCCCTTCGCGACCCTCAATTCTGCACACTCAAAGAGAGAGAGAGAGAAAGAGAGAGAGAGAGGAGACTCATTTTCTTGCCATCAACATCCGAAGCCCCCTTTTCGTGACTAAGAAGGGAGAGAGAGAGAGATCGAGGGGATATGGGTGGGCATCGTGGTAGTGTCGTCGGTGGATGGAGGAAGAGATGGGAATGGCGACTGGAAGGGAGGTGGTAACGATGGTGTTGCGTTTCCGCCGGCGAGGTGGTCGCCGGTCTGGAAGGTGTGTGGATTGGGAGGGTTGGAAAGTTGTGTTTATGGGGATATAATTAGAATAAAAGTGTGTGTAATGAGTAAATATTTTATTTTTTATTTTTTTAGGTGTGTAATTTAAGAAGGATGTGCAAATAGAGGATTGAGTGTGTGCAAATAGAAGCTCCCGGATATGCAAGACTATAATTGTGCGATTAAAATTTGCCACCTATTTGGTCAGATAAATTACAAATACTCTTTTAAGATTTGTTTAAAATTTAAATTGTCTTATGTAAGTTTAAGAATTACATTCGCTTTCGTTTCAAATTTCAAATCGCATAAGAAATAACCTATTTTAGTAATTAATTATTAAATAATAAATTTTTTTAATGATTTAATAAATATTTTTTAATTAATAATTTTGATAATTTTATTATTGTATAGAAAAATAGTTAGAAATTTTATTTTTTTTTGTTAATTTTGTTAAATAAAAAATGCTAATAAAGAATATTTAGAATTTTTAGAATTATAAGAGACAATCTGTATTTGAAACAAATCTAAAAAAATCTATTTTTAATTTACCTCATTTGGTTTGGACTTTGGAGAGGACTTTAGAGAATCAGCCTCAGCAACAAACTAACTTGTCACTCCTGTGCGCAACTTAGTTGGTTAGGAGGGCCTCAAGTTGTTACCAACATAGCATTTGGCATGGGTTCGATTCTATTTCACTATGCAAGTTATGACTTAAACAAAGCTTGTGTTAAGGGGTCGGTGCAACCTCATAAGTTATAGTTTCTACTCTAGAACAAAAAATAGAACACCTTGGTAATCTCGACATAAGCGAGACCTATGGAAGGATGTGAGGATTATCATGTACCCAAAAATAAATAAATAAAAATAAAAATAAATAACTTGTCACAATTATAAACTTCCTTTTTTTTTCTTTTTTTTTTTGGGGGGGAGGATAATTACAAAGAAAACCCCAGAGTTTGGTCCTAGTAACAAAATTAATCATTAGTTTTTAATTTTGTCAATCTAAACCTTAATCTTTTGATTGGTTTTCAATCTAAACATCTGAAGCTTGTGTTAAGGGGTCGGTGCAACCTCATAAGTTATAGTTTCTACTCTAGAACAAAAAATAGAACACCTTGGTAATCTCGACATAAGCGAGACCTATGGAAGGATTTCAGAATTATCATGTGCCCAAAAATAAATAAATAAAAATAAAAATAAATAACTCTTCAAAATTATAAACTTCCTTTTTTTTTCTTTTTTTTTTTGGGGGGGAGGATAATTACAAAGAAAACCCCAGAGTTTGGTCCTAGTAACAAAATTAATCATTAGTTTTTAATTTTGTCAATCTAAACCTTAATCTTTTGATTGGTCTTCAATCTAAACATCTGCCTATTTTTTGTAAGAAAAATCAATGTAAAAAAATGATATTTTGGTCATTGAACTCAATGAAAATGATATTTTAAACGTTTTATGTAGACCTACATTGAATTTAATGGTTAAAATATCATTTTTCTGTCAGTTTTACTTGACAAAAATAGGCATATAGTTTGGATTAAAAACAAATCAAAAGATTATGATTTAAATTGACAAAATTAAGAACTTAGAGTTTATTTTGTTACAAAGGTCAAACGTTGGAGTTTTTTTTGTAATTATTCCTTTTCTTTTTTTAGAAAATGATTTGTACATTAAAAAAAAAATTATACATAAAATCATGAGGAAACAACCAACAGTGTGTTAGTTGAAAAAAATAAAAATAAAAATAAAAATCACATTGACTATAAATTTTAATTATTAGAATTATAAACTTTATCAAGAATAAGTAACTATTTTTAAAAATCACACCTAATCTGTAATAACATCATAGTGCCATTTTTTTTTTTAGAATTGTAAATCATTTTAACGGGTCTTTTACTCTAAAATAAATGGACACACTTTTGCCAATTCATTATGTATGCATTTTTGTACAATTTTGTTTGTATATATCCACTCTTGTTTTTTTCCTTTTTTATTTAACAAAGCAAAAAAACTCCATACCATATTATTATGGGTAAATTACATTAAAATTTCCTTGAGTTTAAAAAAATATAACAAATTCTATAATTTCAACATAATTACACCAACTTTCCTTTTAATATGATCAACATTGGTTCGACAAGCCACCGATCTTGTGCACACCCCTAATTTGGATTGAGCCTGTCCAATCTGTTGTCGATTGGAAACAAACCTTAGCCAAAATAAAAATAAACAAACTTCAAATAGTTAGTACTGATCTTTGGGGAAACATTACCATCAAATTCTTGGGAAAAAAAAATATCCTCCTACCGCTGTGTTTGGGAAGGGATTTGAAAAGAAAAAAGAAAAAAATAAATGAAATGTGAATAAAATATACATACATTTCACTTAATTTCACATATTTTTTTCTTTTTCATTTCTAAATTCCTTCTTAAATCTCCCAACCAAATACAACGTAAGGAGAGTGATGACAACCAGTGGGATAAATGCACATCTCCAAGTAAATTTGCAAATGAATAGTAGAAATGCCACAATAACGACACAAAATGTAAAATCTCTTTAATTAAAGCTAAGGCAGTTTCAGAGGAAGTGCTTATTTAGCAAGATTCAATTAGTTCAGTGGGTAATTGGCAACTTTTTCTTTCTTTCTTTTTTCTTCTTTTGATGATCAGGAATTGGCAACTTTTGCTCAAGCAATACCACAATAGGACTTCTTCCCAGCGATCTAGAATGGCCCATATAATATTGCAAGTCCACATCGCAAGCTATTAAAATTGAATCACCCACCTCATCTTTATACTTGACATTATAACTTCCAGTCTCTAGGTTTAGCCTCTTAGCCACTTCTTGTTGCAACTTGGTGAGACTCGATGACAAAGACAGATGAAACAAAATTGCATTATCTTCTGCATATTTTACTTTGATAGTCACAAGATTCGCATCTTGCATCATTGTATCATGCGGCTCGGTGTGAACAATACTAGCAGCGGATTGAGTAGAAGGCAGATGATCAGAGCTAAGACACGAGGCAGATTCATAGAGTTGAGAGCAACCAGCCTTGTTTATCTTGCGAGGTGGCCACCTCTCAATACCATAACCCCTACATATACGCTTTAACGTAGATTTGCTAACTGCAAAAAGAAGAATCCAAATCAGAGAACTTACATTCTACCTTTTTATGCAAAAAGCTCTATATATTCTTTATCAGAAAAGTTTGAAATGAAATAACTACCGAGATCATAAAGCAACATTACATATTAATTTATGAAAGTGCAAGCATACCGTTGAATTTTTTTGCAGCATCATCAGTGCTCATTCCTGAAGTTTGTAAGATATCCTCTTTAGGAATTTTAATTTTAACTCCAGGTTTATTGCCTTTTCTTTCTGATGTCTTCACTGTGCCTTTTTCTTGTGGACTAGTCCAAGCAGTGTTGTTACCTTCTGTACCAACAACATTGACAACACTACTTCCATTATTTATGGCATTCAGTAATTGTTGATTTGATGAATCCACTTGCGTTATCTCTCCCCCACATTGTAAGGGTTCCAACAGGGGCAAAGATATAATAGTTTGGGGCATTTGAACTAAATCAAGTTTCCCACCATTTTGAAAATCAATTCTTTCAATACATAATTCTTTCCCAAGTTCTACCCCAGAAGCAGCCCTAAAAGTTCGGAAATTTATCCTCACTGTTTCCAATATTCCCCACAATGAGGGAGGGGGGTTTTCACTGGCTCTGTTGCTCACTGGCATAAAGATCTCTAGCACATAATCATCATTTCCAGTGCAACTACTTTGCAAGCATATTGCGAAGCAACCACTTAATCCAACATCTCGCGCATAGTGTGCCATGGGGTACTCAGTTATGCTAAGTTGAGTTACATCCCTGCAGAATACCAAATTAGTGGACAAAAGTGCTCTCCCTACAACCCCCGTCCCTTCCTTTATGCGATGCACATTATTGACCATTCTAAATTCAGAGTAGTATTCATATTTAATGTTCTGACAACTTACACCAAGGATGCCACCATCAACCAGATCCCTGCATGGCCAGCCTATCCTACACGGGATCCATATCTGAACTAAAGGTAAATCATGGTCTTCACATACTATTTTCAACACATTCTTCATTTCATCCAAGGCAATTTTACGAGCTTCATTTTTGTCCACATCCTAGTTCGAAAATATTGTCACATCCAGGTAATTTGTTAGAACATATTCCTCGCCATATTAATTTAAGAATGAATCAAATATCAAATTTGACATTGCATTAAAGTTTGCAACTTACTAATTCCATGCACTTGTGTTCAAGTGCAACTGAACTTTTCAGACCTACCACCTGCATGGGAATGAAAAGATGCAACTAAGGAATCTTATAAGCTTTGAAATGTAGAATATATATATATATATATATATTGCCATTAAAACGAAGCATATATATATATATAAGAAACTCTACAATGGAAACAATTGAATCACACTTAGGCGTTGTTTGGTTGAATGACTTGATGAGAGAAATGGAAAGGGAAATAGAAAGAAAATGAGAAAGAATTGATGAGATTCAAATTACAAAATATATTTGATTGAGTTGAAAAATGAAGAAAAAAATTGATTCAAAAATTTAGAGAGCCATTTGAAAAGAAAAAAGAAAAAAATATATAAAATGTGAATAAAATATATTTATATTTCAATTAAATTCACGCTTTTTTTTCCTTTACAATCACACTTTTTGTTTGATTATAATAAAAAACACAAGAAAAAAAGAAAGAGAGGAAAAACAATCTTCCTTTTTGTCTTTTGATTTACTTAGGTCGTGTTTGGTTCATGAATTTAGGAAGAAATTTTTTTAAAAAAAAAGTGAGATGTGAATAATACATTTCGTTTGGCTTTGATTAATTAGATAAGATTGTAAACTAGATCAAGATATAAATCCTCCAATTAAGATAAGATTGCAAGAACCAAAAACCTCTCCCTTTCTTTCCTCTCCAAGACATGTTCAATTGAATTCAATCAAAACAAAACCGGTGTAAAAAAAAAAAAAACAAAAAAACAAAAAAAAAAACAATTCTAGACAGATAAAAACAGAGCCCCAGAGTTTGAGAGAGAGAGATAAAGCAAGTAATGTCACAAGATTCTCAGGAGATAAAGACGGTTGAGCAGTGGAGATGGTCTGAAATGCATGGCCTTGAACTCATGTTACCACCACCAACAACAGCAGCAAGAGACACGGAAAGAAAAGTATTTGAAGAGAGAGAATTGGGGGAAGAGAAAGGAAACATGGGAGAAGAGAGAAGAGAAATGGAGGTAGCCCTTGCGGTGAAGAAATATGGTTCTGCTCTGCCCTCAACTAGGTATGTGGAGCTATTCGGGTTCGCAATGGCAGCCGCCGTCGCCCTCCTCTTCTGCTCCCTGTGCCCTCAGCTTTGAAACATTCGAAAGTTGAGAAAAGAAAATAGGGGAAACGGGAGAAATTTTTTATTTTCATTTTTATTTTTAATAGACAGATCTCAGCCGTCCATGAGTTAGTGGGCAACGTGGCTTAATCTAACCCATCCCCCGCAGAAAACATCACGGAGACATCAAGGAGAAGATCCAGACTCAAGTGTTGCAAGCCATACAGTCTTGTGTTAAAATATTTAGTTGCGTTTGGTAGAATTTTGTAAATATAATTTGAGAGTATAAGTTGTATTTTGAGTTTGTAAATTTTAAAATTATGATTTAAGTGTGAAAAATGTGTTTGGCGAAGAGTTTTGAAAAGTGTTCTGAATTGAGTGGAAAATCTTTGATGTGACATATGATGTTTGATACAAAACTTATAATTCATAACCAAACATACAACTCAAAATTCTATTAAAACACATAAAAAAAAATTTTAATTCAGAAACTATTTTTTTTGAATTTATAAAATTTAACATATGTAAATTGTAAAAAAAAAAAAAAAAAAAAAAAAAATTGCACTGTTCCGGTCAACAGGTGGGACGACCGGTTAGGCGAAATTTGAAAAATAAAATTCCGAAAACCGCGCCTGAGACAGAGTGTTTTGTGTAAAGTTTTGGAAACATCATTTGAGAACTCTAACCAAACATCAAACTTGAATTAAGATGTGGAATCATGATTTGAAATCACAACCAAACAGATTTTGCCTCTTAATATGTTATTTTACATTTTAAAAATCTTTGATGTCTATCTAAATAAATCTAATTTGAATTTTTTTTAAATTTTTTTTATTTGAGCTTGATTGTTGCAGAATATCCATATATAACTTAATATTTTCAAAGTTTATCTTCAAGTTGAATTTAATATTTTATCATTTAAAATTATCAATTAATTATCCACATAAATTTTGAACATGACAGAATTCTTATATTTTTTGTCTAAACTTAATCTCTTCAATATAAAAACAAGTGTTTGTAAAAGGAGCCATGAACAAGTGATTAAAAAGAAAAAAAAAAAAAAAGGAGAACTTATTGATGAGTCTCATCAGTTTCGTTTTGTAACTCGAATTTCATCTAACCCAAGTAGCTCGACTATCCAAAACGACGTCGTTTTGGGCAGTGTTTTTTTTTTTTTTTTTTTTCTCTGCAGATGATGATGAAGAAGAAGAAGAAGAAGAAGAAGAAGTAGTAGCAGTAGCAGCAACAGCAGAAGGAGGAGGAGGAAGAGAGAAGAGGGAGCACATATCATCATCATCAACAACAACAACAAACAACACCAGCATCAACAACATATCATCATCAACAACAAACAACACTACTTTGAAGATCAAAAATCAAACCCAAAAATCCAAAAATTTAACCCAAAAATCAAAAATCTAAATCAACACATTATCATCAACAACACATCATCTCTGAAAAAAAATATCAAAATCAACGATGGAAAAAAAAAATTCAGAGATTAGAGATTTCTGAAAAAAAATTCAAAGATCGGAGGCAAAGATCAGAGATCGGAGGCCGGGCGGCGGCGATTGACGGGCAGTGCTCTCTTCCTCTCTTCCCCCTTTCTCTCTCTCTCTCTCTCTCTTTCTCTCTCTCTCTTCCTCTTTCTCTTCTTCTCTTCTCTCCCTATGTTTCAATGATATAACAGGGAAGGAAAGAAAGAAAAAAAAAATAAAAAAAATCCTCAAAACGACGTCATTTTGAGGATTCAAGCCACTCGGGCCAAATTTTTGTCGAGATACGAAGGATTATTCTAAGTCCTATACACAAAATTCAAAATCCATCTAGTCTCAAAATAAAACATTTGCACTAATTAGTCCTATATATTTTTAATTGTTACCAAAAAATCTTATTTTAAAACAAATAAAAAATTAAAGACATTGCTACATTCCACTACCGCCGAACTTTCGTTACACGGTCATTGGATACTTGCTAGAATGTTCAACATTACTGGAAAGTCGCTGGAATATCACTAGGAATTCGCCAAAGTATCATCGGAATGTCTAGAATGTTTGCTAGATGTCCAGAATATCACTTGAGATTTACAGAAATATCTAGAATATTGCCGAAAAAAAGAAGAAGAATAAACTAAGAGATTAAAGTGAAAAAACATTACAAAATGTGCTAAATATTGATAAATTGAAATAAGAAAAAAATTTAAGAACAACAAACAACAACAATGGAAAAAAAACATATGTTATTTTCAATTTTTGTAGAGTTTAAGCAAATAATTTTTAATATTGATCAAATTGAAAAGCATGTTTTGAAACTATAAAATGTTACAGTTTAAAAGTATGATTCTATTAAGTATTTATCATTATTAATTAAATTGAAAAATATATTATGAAATTGTAAATTTTACAATTCTAAAGAATGATTCATTTCAGCACAAAAAAAAAAACTGAAACCGTAAAATTTTACAGTTTTCACCGCGTGTAATTAAAACTCGAAAATAATTTGTTCAAAACTTGAAAATTTTCTCCATTATAATAGGAAAATAGAAGTGTGTAGTACAGAAAAAAAATTAAAACTACGAGATCGAAGGAAAGAGACAGATATATAGGTGCTTGTACTCTGACAACTATTCTTTGATTTAGATCTAGCCAGATCTAAAGTAGATCTATTCATCTTCATCGTCAGAACCTCATCTCTTTCGCCGTTGGCAAGCACAAAGCAATGAGTTAGTGCTCGGTGGTTGCCCGTAAACCCTAATTATTGGTGGTCGTCGGTTGCCGGTGACTGTAGATTAGAAAGAGAAAGAGAAGAAGGAATACGTGGTTGTCATCGTCATCGTCATCGTCGCCGTCGCCAATATTAGAGAAATAGAGATAAAGAGAAGAAGCAAGGTGTAGGAGGAAAGAGGAGAAAATAAATGGGTATAGGACTTTTGAGTCTATCTAAAAGGTTTTAGGATTAAATAGAATACACACTTTTCAAAAAGGACTTGTGGGTAATTTGCCCAAAAAAAAAAAAAATCACAATCAAGATTGAGCCCTTTTCAACTCCCTTTCACGGTGCCTAAAAATTTTTGTATTAAAGTCAAGTCACAAGTATTTTTTTTCTTTCAATTGAAATTACTTTATATTTGAAATATGTACTTACATGAGCTTTTACATGTGTGGAAAAGAGAGTTTATGTAAATGGATATTATTATTTTATTCTTCTTTAAATTTTATTTTTGCTTTTGTTTCTTTTTCTTTTTTTTCCTACAATCTGTATTTTTCTTTATTTCTTTCTCTCTTTTTTTTTACTAATAATGTGTCATTTAATTGAAATTTCATTCTTTTTTTGAAGCGTTACTATTATTAATTTGTGACTCTCTCACTTATTGACTATTTGCATTTAATTTTTTTGGATGCAGATTTTAGATTAGAAGTGAAGAGAGTACCAAAATTTATTTGAATATGGGTTTATGCTTTAAAGTTAATCATTAAAAAAACTCATGATTAGATTAATTTTTAGGAACCTATTTCTTTTGATACCTAAACCACAAATTTCTTCTTTTTTTAAAATGTCTTTTTATGTAGATTCAAAGTTTGAGCAAATGCAAGCGATCTCATATTAAAAATGTTTGGTTTTTTTAAAAAAGAAGTAAACAATTCTACTTTTTTATGGTTGTCAGTTCAATTTTAATACATTTTCAAACCTGTTTATGTTAGTGAATCAAAATAAAATTAAAGGGGAAAAAAAAAAACCAAATAGCATGTAAAAAAATTTAACCACTAACTGAATATAATGGAAATTAAACTTAATTTTATTTTAATTTATTATACTGTGCTGAGTGACTAATGTAATATCTCCTATTAATTGAATCTCTCTCTTTTTTTTCTTTATTCTTTTTTAATCCATATTAGAGAATACAGCCAAATAGCAATTTTTGTTAATAATTATCGATTTTGTAAAATCCTGTGCATTGCCCAGGTGATTGCTAGTAATATATAAGGAAAATGAGATTTTTAGTGAGGAGTCTCGTGAGAATTTCAATATCTCATATTAATTTTCTTGATTTTTTTAATTTTAAACAATTAAGAAAATCTCCATGGGCTAACTTTCATCTAATCATATAAAAATATAATTATAATTAGTCTATAACTTATTTTATAATCCCACATTAGGAGACAAAGAAAAAACTAAGTTGTTTTACTCATATAAAGTGAATCTTATACTTTCATTTAATATTGTAGTGTTGTACCTGTTTCCATTCAAGATAGTTTAAATTTTAAAATAAAATTTAAAAGTTTTAATTAATTAATTTTTATATAAGTTGGTGGGTCTTTTGACCTAACCAATTAGGCTAAATCGTTTTTTGTTTGACTGATTCGCTAGTTTAATCGCAATTTTAGCAATTTTATCAAAATTTATTGATTGAATTTGTTTGATTCGAAATAAATTATGGATTGACCTAATTAAAAATTAAACAACTGATATTTCTTGATTAGAAATAAACGTTCCACCCAAACAATTATTAACTTTTATTTTACAATCTCACATTGAAAAAAGAAGGAAAAAGTAAATTATTTTACTTATATAAAGTAAACCTTATTATCCTAATTAATATTGTGCATATTTCAGTTCAAGACAGTCTAAAATTTAAAATTAAAATAAAATTTAAAAGTTGTAATTAATTAATCTTTGTATAAGTTGGTCAGTGAACCATTTTCGGTTTGACTGATTCGCTGATTTAACCGTGATTTTAACAGTTTTATCAAAATATATTAGTTAGATTTGATTGATTCGAAAAAAACTAAAGATTGACCTAATTAAAGGTTAAACTGCTGATATTGTTTGATTCGAAATAAACTTCTTGCCCAAACAATTGTTAACTTTTATTTTACACAATCCTATATCGGAAAAAGAAAGAAAAAGTGAGTTGTTTCACTTATATAAAGTATACCTGTACTCCTATTTAATATTGTAGTATTTTGTATGTTTAAGTTGAAAACAATTTAAATTTTAAAATAAAAAATAAAATTTAAAAGTTTTAATTGATTAATTTTGTGTAAGTTGGTTGATATTTTAACCAATTTTAACGGTTTTATCAAAACATATATTATTTTATTTCTAAAATGTATGTTTTAAGTTTTATGACAAACTTTAACATAGAATAAACTAAAACTAAAAAATTTATAAAACGAAATTTATTTTTATTTTATCATAAATATAATTTTCTTAATTTATTCTGTTTTTTTCATCTTTACTGATTAAATTATAACATCTATTTCTTACTGTGAACTTAAAATATACAATTAATGATATAACAACTGCAATATATATACTAGCGTATACCCGTGCCTGAAGGTACAGTGTAAATAATGTTAGGATTAGAATATAATTGTAATTAATCCCAACACTATTTAAATTTATTTTTTAATTTCATAAAATCACAAATTTATTATAAAATTTTGAAACTCTCACAAAACTCTTCACGAAAACTCGCTTTTGCTTATATAATATATAGCTAGATATATAGATGTGCCTAGCCTACATACAATTTTTACAGGCATACATACAATATTAATTTTGCTTATATAATTATATGGAAATTGAATGTATGCCCATAATGTCCTAGTGTATTACGGGCATACATTCATTGTATAGAAATATATGTAAAATATATTGAACAAAAAGGAGAAAATAAAAAAATAAACAAATTGAGAGAAAAAATAAAAACAGGAGAAAATAAAAGAATAAAAAGAAAAAAAAAGGAGAAAGGTGGGATCATGGGATCATGGAAGGATGTGTGAGAAAATGAAAAAGTAAGAGAGAGAAACGGGAAATTAGAAAATGTACATGTAGGACATTTTAAAAAAAATATATCTCAGTCATTGTTTTATAATTTGAATAGATCTGAGCCATCCAAATATTCTAGTAGGACAAAAATATGTTGAAGATTCAAAAACTGTCATGCTTTATTATATAGATGTTGAAGATTCATACTATGAAGTCTAAATTTATGAAGTCTATCAAGTATTCAATATATTTAAAAATAATAATTAATTATTCAAATTTATTTAATTTGTAGACTATAAAATTTATTAATTTAATATTCACTACACATAGTAAAATTTGACTCTGAATTTTGGAATCGCAGACTTTTCCAAATAATATGAATAAAAATAAGTGAACAAAAAGGAGAAAATAAAAAAAATAGAGAGAAAAATAAAAATGGGAGAAAATAAAAAAAATAAAAATAAAAGAGAGAGGAAGGTGGAATCATGGGATCATGGAAGGATGAGTGAGAAAAAAGAAAAATGTAAGAGAGAGAAGTGGAAAAGTAAAAAATGTACATGTAGGATATTTTTTGAAAAATATATTTCAACTATTATTTTATAATTTGAACAGATCTGAGTCATTCAAATACTCTAGTAGAATAAAAATATGTTAAAGATTCAAAAACCGTCCTATTTTAACAGAGTGTTTAACATTTGCGTTAAAGCATTATTTTTCTCTTTGAACAGGCAAACCCCCACCAACTTATTACACAAACAAACACACCACACCATTGTAGATGTTATAAGAGAGAGAGTGTAATGAGTAATCAATATTAACAAGATATTGAAAATGCCAATTTGTAAGTGAGTGGGGGACTAACCTCAAATTCTTCATATATTTGGTTGCCAAAATAGTTGCCAAAATAGTTGTTCCAAAGTAGACACGAATATGTGGACTGTCCCGTTTGTGTCACCACCTCAAGTACACCAACACATCTTTGGGTAGAAGGTTCAAATACTGGGAAAGCCAAAGATTGTTTAACTCCGCAACGTAGAGCATCGTTGCGCTGTGAATACTCTTTGATAGAGTACCACTCCACGTTGGGAGTGGATTCGGGAAATTGATTCTTGAACACTCGGCCAGGAAGCCCAAAGTGTTCTTCTGAACTCTCCCCATCTAAATCCACGACAAATTTATTATATTTAGATATCATCCTATACTGACAAAGTCCCAAAACATCAAGGGGATCCGGAACTAAGAATTTAACAACGTTATAAACATAAGCCGATACTAGAGCGAAAGGTTGGTTTTGAGTTGTAAGAAAAGACTGCCTCTCTTCTGTTATGGGTGCCCAAAATTGAACCAGTATCGCATAATCAAGCCAATGCTGTAAAATGCTGTAAAGCACATCTCTGATCTTCTTTTTCAACTCCAAATTAATATCTGATAAATAACAAACGAATTCCAGAAGGGAAAACTGATTTCAAAACCACAGAATTTGTATTGACTTAAAAAATTAATGCATCAATAACAAAATATATTCAGAGGTGAAAAATAAATAAATGGAGGAGGAGATAAAAAAGATAGAAGTCGCTCACCGGCAGGAACAGTCGGCCGAGGACGTAGGGGTTTGTCGTCTCCTCGGCTCCAGAAAACCCCTCCAACGACTTTGTCAACGCACTTCAATGGCAACCAGTTGAGTTCAGTGTCCACATATTCCTTGAAATCGTGAGGGAGATCTTCTCTCTCCATCCCTATTAAGTTATACACGGACGCACGGTGAACTCCAATTTTACGGTAAACCAATATAAAATTGCCACGTAACCAAATAATTGTTTTCCTATCCCTTCCCCTCATGTTCGGTACCGCAAAACTCAAAACCAGTCAAATTCTTCTTCCGCCATTCACCAAGACCACAAGGCAACATTGCAATTTCGTCTCTTTCAACTGTGTAAAAATCGAAACAGCCTCTCAAACCCTAAATTTAATCTTGGTAGCAGGATGAGAGAGATGGGTTTTACTGAGGAAAGGGTTGGAGAAGAGGAGGGGAGCTGTTAGAAGAGGTGGTGGGTTCCATAGTTGAGTTGAGATGAGGAGGAAGAGAAGGTAAGTGAGAGAAATAGGGCAAAGAGCCAACAAAGGAATTTTCTAGGATGTCACTGAATGAATTATCTCATGGGGCACTGTCTTATTTGCTGACCGTAGGTTCGCTTGGTCTTAGTTAGTTTTGGTTTTTAAAAAATATTTTTAAATAAATTTTACTTTTTTGTTTTTTATATATATTTTTTTGTTTTCACAGAATTTTTTTAATATTTTAAGTAATTTTTAAAATTTTTAGATACACCTAATATAAATACATTTAGAGAGTATAATATTTGTGAATTTTTTTAAAAAAATTTACTAAATACCAAAAATATAAAAAAAATGAGAATTCAATATATTTTTCGTATTTTTGTTTATTTATTAATTTTTGAAAATAATTTTTCATAAATATTTTACTATTTAAATATATTTAAATAAAGTGTATCTAAAAAATAAAAAAAAATTATTTAAAATTTTAAAAATACTCACTAAAAATAAAAAATTTAATTTTTAAGAAGCTGAACCCAAAAAATTAAAACTAAACATTCCATCACCAGCAGCACTATCATTTATGGTCACACAAATCTATCGTTTACATGGGGTTCAAACTACGTTCAAGGAGTTCTCTCTCTGCTCTAAGTAAGCTTCAAATCAGGTCCAAAGGCTTACCACCATACCCCTCTCTATATGACTTTCAAGTATTGGGTGATGAGAGAGATGGGTTTTACTGAGGAAAGGGTTGGAGAAGAGGAGGGGAGCTGTTAGAAGAGGTGGTGGGTTCCATAGTTGAGTTGAGATGAGGAGGAAGAGAAGGTAAGTGAGAGAAATAGGGCAAAGAGCCAACAAAGGAATTTTCTAGGTAGTCACTGAATGAATTATCTCATGGGGCACTGTCTTATTCGCTGACCGTAGGTTCGCTTGGTTTTAGTTTTAGTTTTGGTTTTTAAAAAATATTTTTAAATAAATTTTACTTTTTTGTTTTTTATATATATTTTTTTGTTTTCACAGAATTTTTTTAATATTTTAAGTAATTTTTAAAATTTTTAGATACACATAATATAAATACATTTAGAGAGTATAATATTTGTGAATTTTTTTAAAAAAATTTACTAAATACCAAAATAAAAAAAAAGAGAATTCAATATATTTTTCGTATTTTTGTGTATTTATTAATTTTTGAAAATAATTTTTCATAAATATTTTACTATTTAAATATATTTAAATAAAGTGTATCTAAAAAATAAAAAAATTATTTAAATTTTTAAAAATATTCACTAAAAATAAAATATTTAATTTTTAAGAAGCTGAACCCAAAAAATTAAAACTAAACATTCCATCACCAGCAGCACTATCATTTATGGTCACACAAATCTATCGTTTACATGGGGTTCAAACTACGGTCAAGGAGTTCTCTCTCTACTCTAAGTAAGCTTCAAATCAGGTCCAAAGGCTTACCGCCATACCCCTCTCTACATGACTTTCAAGTATTGGGTTGATTAAAAAATCGATGGGACTTGTGATGGGTTTTATGAGTTAAATAATATTTTTTAGTTTAAAATTTAAATTAGAGGAAATCCTCTTCTTTTTTTATAAAAGTATTTTTTTTTTTTTGAGGTTTTGAAAACAAAATATATATTAACTATGTAATTAAAAAAAAAAAAAAACAAATAAATCTATCTATCCCATTTTTAAATTAATTTATGACAAACTAATGCCAAAACAATTCATGACAAGATAACTAACTATATATTTGGTATCATGAAAATTATGATTCAACACGATATACAAGGTGAAATTGCCCCAAATCAAATAACATAATTATTTGTTGAGTGATGCTACGTATCATGAAGTAAATATCATGAAAAATTTCATTAAACTAATCTAATGGTGAATGCATAACATACAATAAAACACTACAAACATTATAATCTAATCAATGGTGGAGAATCTTCATGAAGACTTTTCATGACATTATTTTCATGATACCTAGCATTATTGTTATTTGTTTATTTTCTTTTGATGATGGGTAATTGGCAACTTTTGCTCAAGCATGATACCATAGAACTTCTGCCGACATATATGGCAAAGTTATTAACATCAAATCACTGTCATAAATTTTGATGTATCTAAAAAAAATTGAAAATCACCACCGTCATTTTTTGTTTTTGTGTGTGTGTCAAGGAGAGTTTAGTTTCGTCTTCTTGGCCCAGGAAACCCCTCTAACCAATTTTTAAATCTTTAGATCTGTCAGTGACATTAATTAGCATTCACAAGTGATATTATTTAATAATAAAATACTGCATAAAAGGATAAATTTCATAATATAAATGTAACTACTTTTCTAATTTATGTCACTAACTTATCACATCTACATTATAAGGTATATATTATACTTACATAATAGATTATAATTAAATAACAATATCGATTGTCAATGCTGATCTCATTATTACAATAAAGTTTTTCTCCAAAAAGTTACCTCCCAGTCCCAATCATGTTTTTTCTTAGAAAAATGTTTGAGGATCACAATTTTTGTGATCACAATGGCTCAAAATTGTCAAAACGATATCATTTTAAATGACGTCATTTTGATAATTTTGAGCCATTGTGGCCACAAAAATTGTGGCCCTCTAGCATTGTTTTTTTTAATATCAAGTTGAACCGGACAAGAGGGCCCCGCCAATACATAATTTTCAAACCACTATTGCGTTCAAACTACAAGTTGAACGAGTTCTCTAATCTCTATTATTGGGTTCAAATTGCCACTAAAACAAATAATAAAAAAAAACAAAAATAAAAACAAAAACAAAAAGAGGAAAATTTACCCATAAGTCTAAGTTTCTGAAAAGTTAAACCATTTAGTCCTAAAAGTTTTCTTATGCTCCATTTAGTCTCATTTGCACATTAATCTAATGTTCGAAACATTAATCTGATGTTCGAAATCTAATGTTCGAAACATTAATCTGATGTTTGAAACATTGTAATGGGACCTTTCAGTCTATAAGAAAACTTTTAGGACTAAACAGTTATAAGTTATTAATTTGGAATTTATTGGTGCACGGGCATGCACCAATAAATCCCAAATTTGTATCTTATAACCCATTTGGTCCTATGAATTTTCTTATGAACCGTTAGGTCCTATCCCAATGTTAGTGACCATTGAACATCATCGACATCAAACATCAAAACATCAAACATCAAACATCAAATTTATGAGTAACATCATCGAAATAACATCAAACATCATCATCAAAACAACATCAAACATCAAAACATCATACAACATCATCAAAACAACATAAAAAATAACGATTAAATAATTTTTAAAATAACGATTAAACATCAAAATAAAGATTAAACAATTTTTTAAATAACGATTAAACATCAAAATAACAATTAAAATAATATCAAACATAAAAAAATAACGATTAAACAATTTTTTCTGATCAAACATCATCATCATAACAATTTTTTTTTTTGATCAAACATCATCCTAACAATTTTTTTGAACAAACATCGTCATAACATTAAAAACATCTCAGATCGAAACCCAGATTTGATTCGGAACACACCTCAAAAACCCACATCTCCTCGGCCTCTTTCGCATCTTCATCTTCTTCTAATGACAACAACCAAACCCATATTCCACCATCATCCCCAACTCCTCCCCAAATCCCCATCTCTTATCCCTTCGATGGAATCCTAACTCGTGATTGGGTCATGGACCTTATCATTGCCTTCGATTGGGCTTCTCGAAATCTTCACAGGCATAGAGCCGCGGCGGTGTGGAAGAGCCACAGGAGGCGCAACGCGGCACCTTGTTGGGGTCCCTGCGGATCGCCGCACGGCCTGGCAAGCGCACCCTCAGACACTCCTGCAACGCCCTGAACGGTTTCGCACCACCACGCCGCGATCGGAACTCCGCCAAGTGAGGGCACGGCTCCGGCACCACCACTCCTCTCCGCCGCTGATACGAATGATCCATCTCCGCCACATCTCAACACCAACCGCCAATATAGATATATATATGTATATAATTTGATCGTCGACATTTAGGGCTTTTATATATATATATATATATGATCGCGTGTATGTACGTGTTCAATCTGCTTGCGTTTTGAATTGTAATCGAGACTGCAGGAGGAATTGATCTGGAAATTGATGATGTTCACATTTTTTTTTTTATGATGTTTTGTTAATGTTTGATATTGTCGATTGGTGCAGTTAATGTTGCTAATGTAGCTAATGTTTTGATGATGTTAATGATGTCGTTGATGTTGCTGATGTAGATAGTGGGACTAAATGGTGCATAAGAAAATTTGTAGGACTAAATGGTTTAACTTTCTACCATATAAGATTTACTGGTAATTTTTTCAAACAAAAACATCATTTGACAACTAACATTTTAGTTAGAAAACTATTTAAAAAGTTAAAAAAATTATTAAAAAAATAAAAAATTCATTCTAATTCTCTTTCATTTTTACACGATTTTTGTAAAAAACTACAAAAATATTTTCAAATACTTCAATTATTTTTACCTCATTTTAGCCAAAAAAATACTAGAACAAAATTTACTACACATTACATAATGCAATTTCCTCTGTTGTAAGAGTTGCGAGAATTGTTACATGGAAAATCTTGATTAAATCATTTAATAATTGATTGCACGAAAATATATGAAATATTTTCATTCATATCCAAAATTTAGGGCAAAATTCATTTTACTTCCATATGATATGACTTGAAAGTACTTTACTCCATTATCTTTTAAAAATAGCCATATGCCCCTATGTGCTTTTGGACTAACATGAAATCGTTAATATCGTTAACTATTGATGTGAAATGGCTATAATACTCTCAAATCTTATATTTTTTTGTTATTTTCTTTCTCTCTTATCTCTTATACACATAGGCCATGTTTAATTCACAACACTAATAGTGAAGTATTAATAATCCTATAAAATTAGTGTGGTATTTACTATCCAATTAGATTAATAGGATAAATTATTTATTTGATCAATAATCTCATCCCTACCCCATTATTAATAATCCTATAAATTTGTTGAATTAATTATCCATTAGATT